GTTGCTGCTTGAAATGTATTCAAAGCAGACCTTGATCAGTTCAAAAATATAGGAGCCAGTGTCATATTTCAACATTCAAGGTCATGGCTGACCATATTTTCTAATCCTTGCTACCACAAAAACCACTAGGCACCATAGTGAGATTCCTAGGTGCCATGGCAGCCTAGCACCTGGGATTTTTCAAGCCCTGATTTAAGCATGTGCATATTGTTTGTACTTAGCAATATGTTTGCTTTCCTTTATTGTCAATTTGCATTTGTTTTAGTAGAGTTTAGTAGAGTTGGTGCAGTTCTTGTTTAGGCAAGACTTCTGCTTTTTAAGGACAGCTTACTTGCCTTTAGTGGATTTCTTGACTCTGCTTGTTAACATGCTGGTGTTTTATTCATTTTCATAGTACTGTATCACATCTGTGATATGCATTCTGTGGGCTGGATCTAACCACCTTTTCCCCTGGTGCAAAATGGGTTTCCTTTGACCACTGAGGATTGTAGGATACCTGTCAAAAGCTATAGGGGGTGGGAACAGAAAGAGCTAGCCAGATTCAGCCCTATCTACGTTTCAGTTATTGTGGATTCAAATGATTGCTGCACCCCTGGGAATGAGTTAACCCGTGCTATAATAAAAGGTGTCTGTTTGTCCATCTATGGCAGATATAACTCCTAGGAAAATAAGGCTGGGAGCCCCAAAATTGGCCATCAGGTTTAGGATGATTGTGGGAGTTGTAGTGCCAGACATGAAGGGAATCAGAAGATCTTGGCTCATGTTGTCTCAGGACCCCACCCCCTTGCTATTTGCAGTGGAGCAAAGGTACTTTGCTTGTGCCATGCATAATCAATCAGAAAATAAAGGTAGGTGTTTGGAAATTGGCTACCAAGTTCAAGGTGATTATGGCAGTTTCGCTGCCAAAGATGAAGGTAATCAGAACATCCTGACCCATGTTAGATCCAGAAACCCTGCACTCCCATGCTGTTTGCAATTGAAGCTAAGGTTGTGGCAGGCAAAACTCATCAGAAAACAAAGGCAAGTGCTTGAAAATTGGCCACCAACTTCAGGGTGATGGTGGGAGCTGCAGTGCCAAACATGAAGGGAGTTAGAACATCCTGGAGCAGTTTAGCTGTAGAGCATCCCTCTGCTATTTGCAAAGGAAACCAGGCTTAACTCACCAGAAACCAGGAAAGCACAGGCAGCACAGACAGGGAAGGTGGGGGAAAAACCCCTGCTGTTACAGAAGGAGGAGGGTTTAACAACTTTCCCGAACTGTCAGAGCCTATAATGTGGTATAGTGGTTAGAGTATTCGGCTGGGCTCCAAACGTCCCAAGTTCAAATCCCCATTCTGGCCTGGAAGCTTGCTGAGTGACCTTGGGGTCAGTGACACCCTCCCAGCCTGGCATCGCTCAGAGTCTGGAGGTTGTGAGGAATGGATGGAGGGCAGGAGAGTGATGTGAGCCACTTGGGGCCCCCATTGCAGAGGGAGGCAGCACGGGCAGGGAGGGTGGTGGGAGACAAAACAAAGGGGGCTCAAACAAAGGAGCTGTTCCCTGAACTGCCAGAGCCAGCGTGGTGGTCGTGGCTGGAATGTCTGACGGAAATCCGGGAGACCCAGGTTGGAGTCCCGCCTCTGCCACAGCGGTTTGCTGGGGGGGTGATGACGGCTGTGGGCCAGCTGCACTCTCTCGTCCTCGCAGGGCGCTTGCCAGGGCAAAACGGAGGGCAGGAGAACAGTTGCCCTGGGGAGGAAGGTGGGCTGCGCCATTCATTGCAAGTCTGATGGTGGCTACACGTGGTGGGTGGGGGAAGGATGATAGTTCATACTGTGGCTTCGTCTGGTGTTGCTGCAAATCTTTTGGCAACTCTGTATTCGAACTACCATTGCATATAATGAATACAGAGAACTACAGGGCTGGCAGCGGAGTTTAAAATTGTAACTGGGGTGGCTTAAAAAAAATAAAATTCCAATACTCAGTGAAAACCTTTGGAACACTAATCCTCTCCAAACAGCCCAACGCATTTCAAGGGGTATCTTGACTTTCCCATCTTTTCTTCTAACCAGCTCCTTCATTTCTGAGAATTTTCCTCTTTGGAACTCAGATGTACCCATGTTGGATTTTTGGGTCAGCTCTCCATTTATACAGATGTTGCGTTGACTGGCACCATAGCCAGTGTTCCTGCCCGTTGGCGCTCAATCTAGAGTTGTGCCCCAACCCCACCCGGTTGACGCTTCCAAGTATTTTATGTAATTTACATTTGCTAGAGCATCAAAGAATAAATATTAAGCAATTGATATAATAGCAGGGTTTTTTTTTTGGGGGGGGATCACTTTACTAAATGAATTACCCTGAAATCCTTATAAAAGATCAATGTTAGGTTTGCTCATGAATTTTAATTATATGCCTTCTAGTTCCAGATGCTTCTTAACTATTTTGCAGCCCTAAGATCAGAAAGAATGTCCTGGGAGGTTTTTGTACCTCACTTATTTTGGTAGGGTTCTGTTTCTAGGGTCTGCTTTTTGCCTGCTCATTCTCTGATGGAGAGACTTTCCTTTTGGGCTGTTCAAACGGCTGAAGGAATTATTGGCAGGGGGTGGGAGACGGGCCTGATGTAAATAGGCCCTGCACTAGGCTGCATCCACATTTCCCTGGATATTATGCCGTAGCCATCGTTCACCTCCTGAATTGTCCTGTCCACACAGGAGAATTTGCAAATTATTCCTATAGCACAACAACAGCGGAATATCCAAGTGTGTGTAGATGCAGCCGTAGTATTGCCTGGATAAGCAAAGGGACGGATTGAGCCTGACAGTTTAATTGTTCTGGAGGTGGGCACGTTGATCTGGGAATGGGAAGTAATCATAACTGCTGATCAGCTCCGTAGCGAGGCCAGGGTACCATAGATTTTGTAAAAATATTTTTGTATAAATTTTTTTTTGCATAAAATCTGAAAATAAAACCACAGTCATAGTGTTAGAGTGGTTAGTGTATGTAACACTGCTCTCAGTGTTACAGAGGTGGTTTATAGAGATAATTAAAGCCAATATAACACTAGTAAAATTAACTGGTGTAAAATCTAAATAGAACAGTAGCAGTAAGAATAAAATGTGCACGATGAAAATAGCAGCATTAAATAATTTAGCATAGTTGAAACAGCCACATAGTTCAGTGCTTCGGGGTCAGCTGCGTGGGAAGGTGTTCCGTAAACAAGGGGCCACTGCAGAAAACATCGCCTCGTGTTTGATAGTGGTGGCAAGTGACCAGGGCCTCCAAAGATTATTTACAACATTGATACCCTGATTTTCTGCCCTCATCAGGGCCACTAAAGCCGCTACCAAATTAAAACATATGAAATAAAAGCACATCTTAAAAACTGTAGCTGCTGCCACACGGGACGGCTGAAATGCGGCTAATCAGAGCTGCACCGAACTTGAGACACCGTGGCGGGATCCCATGGATCCCCTCAGATCAGATGCTGGGGAGCAAGAGTCCGATTGGAGGGGGAGGCTGCTGAACTGCGCATGCTCGAGCATGCGCAGTACGGCTGGGGGCCGAGATACGGCAGCGCAAGGACACGCCGGCTGATCCCACAGCCCGCCTTGAGCCGCTTCAAGGGATACAACCACCTAGGTAGGTGGTGCTTTTTTGCTGCGCGGTATCGGTGTTTGGGACGGAACAGGGACGGGCAGGCAATGATTCCCAGATGTTACCATGAGATCGTGCCCGTTTGCTCCCCCCCATTCCGTCCCGCTCCTGGCCCAAAAGGCCTCGTATGGACAGGACCCATGAAAACCAAACATGTTATTATCTTACTAATCACTGATGGGGTGCAGCTGGCAAACGATCAGCGATTTAAGGTGCTGCACCCACCTCTCTCTGTAGGCACCCTCAGACAGGTATACCTGCTCTTCTAGGAAGAGTGTGAGGAAACCCCCCCCCCCCACACACACAATTGGCTCTTCAATCCCTGGTTAGGTTTTATTTCTGTCAAAAGCACTTAAGTTTTATTTGCACTGAGTTTGTTAGGCCTCATAATAAGCCTGTTATTGTCCCCAGACATTCATTCGGGACATCCGCTAGCTCAGCTGATCTTGTTGAAAAGGAGGAGTAGAGCTGGTGGGCATTACAGTACTGGTTGCACTCTAAACCTTCAGATAACATCTCTCAGTAGTTTCATGCAGGTCCTAAACAGCACGGAGCCAGAGCATTACTCCGTGGAATTCCATAGCATAAATGTAATGCCTGTTCTACTTACCTTGTCACCCAACACAATGTCAGCGAGCTGCCATTTCTCTGGGATGTGTCCCTCTTCCCTCCCTCCCCGTGTTATTCTCTTCTGGTATGCGACTGTAACTGCCAAGCTTCTCCTACAGGTGGACGATGGAGTGTTATGTCTTCTTGCCTTGCTTAATTAGATTCCCGTGTGAACTGAACTTGTGTTTATGGTATGAGCCGTTGGAGTTCTCAGGCTGCTTCGCGCCTTTTCTAATCAACTCCCTTGCGAGGGAGTTTAGCCCATTGGGTTAACCAAGTTTGAAGTTCCTATATCATACTGCCCCTGTGTATTGTAGTCATTCTGGACAATTCTCTGTATGTTCATGATCAACCATGCTTTGGAAATAAATCTTACTTCTTTGGAACGTGGGTTTGTTCTCCTGCTTTGGGGGTCTGACATTTTGTCCAGAATCCTCTTTCCCCCTCACCCCGAGTCTGACATCGATCATGAGCGGGGCCGAAGGGAAATCCTTTTTCTGGGCAGAGGACCGAGGTGCCGTCCCGGCCACTGCCTTAACATCGGACTACATGGAAGCCCGAGGTGCCGTTGGGGGAGCGATCCCGAGGCATGAGACTATTCCTTGGCCTCCTCCTACCCCATCGCATTGGGGAAAACCAGAGGTCAAAGCCTCAGAGGATTGGACTATGTTCGATACCCAAGGCACCAGGGAAACGTTTGTTCATCGGGGCAGTGGGCCCCGAGAAAGCCTTTTTGAACCGGGATCTTATCCTGAAAGACCCCGGAGTTGCCCGGCTGTGGCTTATCGAGGGGAGGATGAGTTTTGGCCGGAGGAGAGAGCGACCGGACGAGACGAGCGGGAAGAGCAGCCAGGCTGGGGGGCATCCCAGGATGGCAGGATCCAGGAGCTCGAGAGGTCGGTGCAGGATCTCATGAGGACAGTGACAGAAGTTTTCAACGCCATGCACCAGATGGTGGACGATCGCATCGCGGATCGTCTGGGTCCTGTCATTCCACCACCGGCGCCGCACCCGGCACAGCCGGCTGTGCCTGCCCCGCCGGTTCAGCCTGCGGCGCCACTGCCAGCGCCCCAACTGCCGGCGCTGCCGCCTGGATTACCGCCTCCACTGCAACCAGCACCCGCGGGACCCGGGTTGCCTCCGCAGGCTCCTCTGGGACCGCCACCGCCACTCATCCCTGGCCTCCCCGCACCCCAGCCAGGGGCCCCACCGATGGCTCCAGGATTACCCATGCAGGGGGGCCTGAGGTTGAGACCGAAGGACTTACTCGACGCAACCTTTGATGGAAACCCGGAAGATCTAGCATATTTCACGGTCCGCGTTCAGAAATTTGTAACTCAGAGCGGCCACCTGTTCCCCGATGACAGCGGCAGAATCGATGTGATTGCTGCACGGCTGAGAGGAGCAGCGGCGAC